TTCAATTTAATTTTTTTTTTATATCTAGGACAGATTTAATATTTTTTTTTAAAACTAATTTATACCTTTTTTTAAAAAAATGCATTTATATAAACACGGACAAAATGTCATCTATTTTTATATAAAAACGCTGACAAATGTCATCACAAAAAAAAGTCTATTTTATTTTTAATATCGTATAAAAAAATTGCTTTTTAATATCGTATAAAGCGGTTTTTTAAATAACTTTTAAATTTGCTTTTTTTTTTTGGATGTTGATTTTTTTATTTTTTTTTAAAAGTAGTATTGAAAAAAAAATGAATTTGTTTAGCAGATTTCTAAAAAGTACATAAACGGTTTAAATTCTTTAAAAAAGTTTTAAAATAAATTTTAAATTTAAAAAGAATTCAAACACACGGTTTGCAAATCTCTCTAATAAATATAAATAAATGAGTTTTAAAAAAAACGGTTACAGAATGTTGATGTTGGCAAACCATTCTTTCTACTTTCTTTGTATCAGTTTTTGTTCTTCTTTTATCTTTGTTCAATCTAAATGTTAAATTTCGATATTTTTTTAGTGCGTTTGTGAGTCACTTCAAAATGTTACAGTTTAATATTTGGAAGATTCTTGGAATATAAAATCAACACTAAAGGTAAGTATTTATAATTTTTTATTTTAGAATTTAACAAGTTTGTTCACCGTATTAATTCATATTTCTATTTTTAATATAGATTTTTAATCTTAGCGCAAGATAAATTAGTCATGATCATAAATTTAATACAAAATTTTAACATATGTTTTTATTTGATTATATAAACAATCATGAAATGATCTCAATATTTTGTTGAAGTTATCTAAGATTCTATACTATTTTAGTAGTATATTTTGAGTTTGTTGGTTTGATGCTTAAGTTTTAATTAGTCGAATAATTAGTGTGTTGATTTTGTTTTTTTGATACTTTTTAATAAGGAATTAAGAAACGATTTAAAAATTATAAAAATTATTTTTTTAAAGAGTTACATAATATTTTTAATTTATATTTTTAAATTTTAAATTTTAAATTTTAAATTTTAAATTTTGAATTTTGAATTGAGAGTGGTTAATTAATCTTAAAAATATAAGTTTAAAATTAGAAACAAAATATGTAGTTTTAAAACTAATCATAACCGTTTAAGGATAATATTTATTATAATCTTAAATTTTAAATACATTTCTATTTAGACTAATTAATTAGTTGGCCTAATTAGTTTTAAGGATCACGCATTATCCAGTTTTTTAAGCCTTCTGTTTATTTAGTTTAGTTTTTATTTCATGGCCTTTAAGTAGTATTGTTGTGAAGAGTATGATGTTTAAACATATGTTATTTACGTTTTTCCATAAAGTTCGATAAAACTATTATTTGTCTTATAGATGGGATATCTTTGATAATTCTATATTTTTTATTAGAGCATGTTTGGATAGATTTATAACTTATGGTTTATAAGACAAAAGTCACAAAATAGAATTCCTAAAATCTTACTGTATCATAGAAAAATAATTTCCTTATTAAAATTAATTATTTGTAATCATATTAAATTCTAAACTAAAATTTTAAAAATTAAGTTTTATTAAAGAATTACTTAAATTTATCGTGATATAACCATTTTAAAAAATATATATAAAATTTATATAAACATAACGATTAAAAAATTTAAAATTTAAATGATCCACTGTAAAATTTAAAAAAATATTTAAATAAAATGTGAATTTAAAACTGAATTACTAACTAAATATTATCATGTTTTTTTTTCTAATATTAAACTTTTATTTACAATTAGAATTTAAATAGTCGGTTACAACTTTCCATTACATTTCCACCTCTACACGAACTCTTAAAACTGATTAACAAAAAATTAATAAAATAAAAAAATAGATTTTGTTAAGAATAAAAATAAATTTATATATTTGCAAATTCACTAAATATGGTTACTAGAAAAGTGTAAATCATGAAAAAAAAATTTACCCCTTTTGAATAGCAACTACAAGGCAAGTTTTTGTCTCCTGTGATGATTAAAATAATTAATTTATCTCCAATTATTATTGCAGTTATTTTTTTTAATTATTAAGCACAATTTTAAATTTTTGTATGGTAGTTTTATGATGGAATCCTAAAATTAAGGTAACTGATTAAGAACTTCTTCGCCTAATGTATTTTGGATCATACTTTTATCATGAATTTTTTTTTCAAAGTAAATTTTGAAAGTATTTATTATTAACAATAGATAATCAAAAAAATTCACATGCTTAACTTATCCATATTAAAAATTACTAAAAAAAAAATTCAAATAACTTATCCAGAAAAACATGCTCCTAAATCATAGGTGAACAATAAATCATTTATCTCCAACCCAAAATAACAGACATGCAATAGAAAAAAATAAATAACAAACATGAAAAATTAAATCTCTTTTTTCAAACTTAAATAATTATAAAAATAAATATGGTTAGTTTTTTAAAAATAATTATAAAAATAAAGATAGATATGTTTTATGGATAGTTTTTTTAAAAAAAATAATTATAAAAATAAAGATAGATATGTTTTTCTTCAAAAAGTAAAGGCTAAAGAAAATAAGACATGCAACATATATGTTGGGTTATTCAATTATGAATATGAATAGTACGTATTAGTTAAATATATTAATTTTTAAAAGAATTAATTTAAAAATCAAATTTATTTATTTTTTAAAAATGGATAACTACAGTTATATAAACTGCATACAAATAATTAAATAACCTCATTAATTTTTAGCAAAATAAAGCACTACAAAAAAAAAATTATGTTTATGGCCTAAATTTTGTGTTGATAAAAATAATAACCATATATTTTTTTTATAAATAACAGAAATATTAATGGGAAGAAAATAATAAGCTATAGTTAAATATTTTCTTTTTTAAAAAATAAATTATAGAACGCAGTGATGAAATCATATTATATGTTATTTATTTGAAAAAGTAATTTTTTTAAACTATTAGTATGCTTAAGATAAATGAACTGTCTTTAATTTTTAGAATATAGAAACCTATAAAATGTCCATAGATTCTTAAAGAAAATGGTACAAAAAAGACCTATTATTTTTCAATTCTAATCTTATACTAATTTAAGGATTAAAAAAAAAAATTGAACCTTTTCTTATTCAAAGAAAAACATATGCAAAAACAGGTCATTTAATAACATTTCATGTGAAAAGTTTGAATTAATAAATTGTTAATATAAAAAAAAAATATATTAATACAACATAAAAATAATACATGACAAACGTGTAAAAATATTTGAACTATTTTATATTTTCTGAAATTAAAATAATCAAAAAATTAATATAACCGCGCAACGCACGAGGCCGTATACTAGTAACAATAATATTAGCACCGTTTCTTGTCCCCTAATTTCTAAGCCGCCAAGAATTCACCCTTGCCCCCTTCAATCTAATACAACCATTATACTAATATAATAATAATAATAACTATTGGTTACTTCCACTAAAATTTGTCAACAATAACCCATAAATACTTGCCCATCAATTTGAAAACCAACAATATTGCAGAAGATTCAATTCATTCCATACCCACTTATAATAATAATTCAATTGAAAGAATTGCAACTTAATAATATAATAACTATATATTGATTTCCTATGCAATTAAAAAGCAGGAATTTTCATCCACAGAATTGAGTATACCTGCACTCTCGTTCTTCGCTCAATGCACGCCGCAGGTTAGTTTTCTTTCTGCTCCTCTTTATTTTCTTTTCTAAATTAAATATGTATTAAAACTAATAATTCCTACTAACTTATTTTATTATTTCAAACTTGGCCCACTATTATTAACAATAACCAAATTACCCGTAAATTAATTATCTATAATTAAATGACTATTCAAAATTATAAAAAAAAATGACCTTTCGGGTCCGGGTCATTACACATATGGACCCTAGTAACAAAAGAATTAACTTCATATACTTCTAATGGTCACAAGAACAATCTCATAAGCACAAAGTACAATTTCTCTCCAAACCGCAGTTGTGAGATCACATGGGGTATGTTGTAGTAAACTTGTATGAGACTAATTCTGTCTAATATAAAAAAAACTAACTTAGCTAATATCATATTCTCCAAACTCTATAAATAAACTAAGATGGACTTAAGTGACAAAAGATATAACTTCATATACTTCTAACAGTAAAAAACAACCTCGTAAGCACAAAGTAACACTCCTCTCCAAACCTTAGTTGTGAGATTACACGAGGTATGTTGTAGTAAACTTGTATGAGACTAATTCTGTCTAATATAAAAAAACTAACTTAGCTAATATCATATTATCCAAACTCTATAATAAACTAAGATGGACTTAAGTGACAAAAGATATAACTTCATATACTTCTAACAGTAAACAACAACCTCGTAAGCACAAAGTAACACTCTCCAAACCTCAGTTGTGAGATTACACGAGGTATGTGTTGTAAATTTTTATCAGACCAAATGTCTAAAATAAGAAACTAACTGAGCTAATGTCCTATTTTCAAACTCTAAACATAAACTAAGATGTGCCTAAGTGACAAAGATACAACTTCATATACTTCTAACAGTGAAGAACAACCTTGTAAGCACAAAATACCACAACTCTCTCAATCCTAGTTGTAAAATTACAAGGAGTGTATTGTTGTAAACTTGTTTAGGATCAAATGTGTCTAATATAAAAAAACTAACTAAGCTAATATTATGTTCTCAAACTCTAAACATAAATTAAGATGAACTTAACTAGTGACAAAAGATACAACTTCACATACTTCTAATAGTCGAGAACAACCTCGTAAGCACAAAATACCACTCCTGTCTAAAATCCATTTGTATGATTATACGGAGTATGACATATCTAGGACCAAATATGCCTAATATAAGAAACTAACTGAGCTAATATCTTATTCTTCAAACTCTAAACATAAACTAAGATGGACCTAAGTGACAAAAGATATAACTTCATATACTTCTAACGGTCAAGAACAACCTCATAAGCACAAAGTATCACTCCTCTCAGCTCTAAGTTACCATTCTTGCATTGACCTCTGTGCTTCTTCTTCCCCCTCAAAAGCCAAGGAACAGTGTATAAATCGCTCCTCGCAGATGAATACTGAAGGTATGTAAGTTCCCATTTCTTCAAAATCTTGTAATAGAAGTAGCTACTATTCACAAAAATCCATTTTTTTTCTCGAATTTTTCGATGGATTTTGGTGAAAGTACGCCGAAGAAGAAATCGAAACAATCCCTTAATACAACACCCATTAAGCAGCAAAACCCACTTCCCATTTCCAGTTTATCTCCTTCAGATCCTATTTACCCTAAAACCCCACAAACCCTAAACCCCACCAATCGCCGCCGTTCCGTTCGCCTTAGCTCCACCCCTCAAACGCCGGCGCCGGCGCCTCTATCGCCTCCAACTTCTTCCCGACGAGGTAAATCTCTGAACTTTACTCCGAAAAATGGTACCAATTCAGCTAAAAGGAGGAAATCTAAGGTTGCTGATTTAACCCCTGTTTTGACACCGGGACTTACTGAATCGAAGAGGAAAAGGAAATGTGTAGAGAGAAAAAATGTGGGTGTTGAGAAAAGAAGTGTTTCGAGGAGTTGTAAGAAGAGGGTGTATTATAAAAAAGTGGTTTTTGATGGGGGGGAGTTTGGTGTGGGGGATGATGTATATGTTAAGAGGAGAGAAGATGCTGGTTCGGACAATGAGGATCCCGAAGTGGAGGAATGTAGGATTTGTTACAAGCCAGCAGGGAGGGTAATTATGATTGAGTGTGATGAATGCTTAGGAGGGTTTCATTTGAAGTGTTTGAAGCCACCTTTAAAGGAGGTTCCTGAAGGGGATTGGATTTGTGTGTATTGCGAGGCGAAGAAATTAGGGAAAATAGTGGAAATGCCTGCACCACCCAAGGGGAAGAAACGGATAAGGACTGCTAAGGAAAAGTTACTTGACAGTGATCTGTGGGCGGCTCGTATTGAGAGGTATATGAGCTTTCTATTTTGTATGTTAATTATAATAACTTTTTGTGGTTTCTTTGATTTTGCATATCAGTGATCGTGATGTTTGATTAATTGTGATATCAATGTTATAGTATATGGAAAGAAGTGGATGGTACATATTGGTTCCGGGCACATTGGTATATTATTCCTGAGGAAACAGATGCAGGAAGACAGCCACATAACTTAAGGAGAGAACTTTATCGGACTAATGATTTTGCTGATGTTGAGGTAATATTGTGGTATTCTCTTTTCTGTCTTACAATGTAATGTTTTTCACTGTGGAAGTTATATGCTACCTATTTTGCTGCTTGAGGGTTGTAATTTTTGTTATGGTAGAAAATGTCATTTACCTGTTGATCAGTTCAATTGATTGATAACTTCCCAAAATCAAAAAACAGGTGTAAATGTATTGATCTATCATTGGGTAATGTTCTTGATAGATTTCTCAAAAGAGAGAGAATGCAAGTGGTAAGATTTTGCTTTTGGGGGTTTGGATGTTATAACAAATTTAGTGGGATAAGACTCTCACCCCAACGGAAAGGAGCCAAAGCTTCAATTTTTCTGCTTATCTGGCGGTCTGAATTGATTGGATATGTTACAAGTAAGTGACCAATTACATCTGTTAATAAAGGCCTACGATTCTATCTGCAGATGGATTCTGTCATCAGACATTGCTTTGTTTTGTCTCCAAAAGAATTTGAGAAGGCAAGAAATGATGGAGATGATGTTTTCCTTTGTGAATATGAATATGACATCCACTGGCATAGTTTCAAGCGCATTTCTGAGATTGAAGATAATGCTGTGGTATGTTATTATAAAATAATTTTTGATGATATTTGTGGAACCTTTTGCTCATGTCTGATGAAATATTCCGAACTAATAAGCTGTCTTCTCATTTGGTAGGATGATGATGAAGCTGAGAATGATGGGGATTGGAACTCTTGCGAAGATCAAGACTCTGACGGGGAAGACGATGTAGAATATAAACGGGAAAAACTAAGTAATCTATTAACTAGACCATCTCCAGCTCATCCTTTGGCTGCGGTATACAACTTGTCCTTTGACAGATTCATAGTTCACTTCTTCATGTTGCATAAAGCAGAAAGCTAATTAGTTTGTCTAGGAGTGCAGAATTCAAGAAAGGGTCGTTTTTTTGGACTACAAAAGATTGGTGCAAAGAAGATACCAGAACATGTGCGGTCTCATAAGCTTACTGAACTTGAGAAAGCAAAAGGAACCCTTTTGCTGGCAACTTTACCTAAGTCTCTACCTTGTAGGACTAAGTATGTCTTTCCTAAGGTGCAATCTTAATTCTTCATGCAATTTGCTCGGTATTTATCTGACAAATAAGTGCTCTCTTTTGCAGAGAAATGGAAGAGATAACTACATTCGTAAAAGGTGCCATATGCGATGATCAATGCCTGGGTAGATGCCTTTACATACATGGTGTTCCTGGGACAGGAAAGGTATCTATTGGCTTAAGAGAATGCACTTGACTAGCATAAGGCAGTCATATATCGTTTCTATGTTTAGGCTGGTCTGACATTACTGATTTGTTCCTTTATCTGCACTGTGATGCAGACAATGAGTGTATTAGCAGTAATGAGGAGTTTAAGGTGTGAAGTTGATGCAGGGAGCATTAAACCTTATTGTTTTGTGGAGATTAATGGCCTAAAATTGGCTTCACCCGAGAATATTTACAGTGTAAGAATGAAATGCAATTTCTCGTGTGATGCAGAAAATATCTTTGTTCTCTGAAATGTTTCTCTCAACTGTTTCAGGTTATTTATGAAGCACTTAATGGGCACAAGGTCGGTTGGAAAAAGGCTCTTCATTCCTTGAATGAGCGGTTTTCCAATGTTGCTGAACATAGCAAAGAGGAAAACCGGCCTTGTATTCTACTTATAGATGAACTGGATCTACTGGTTACCAGAAATCAAGCGGTAAATGATGCATCCTTCTATCCACAATAGTAAATATCAAAAACAGCAAATTGCATATGTATGACTTTTTTCCTTTTATATCCAGGTTTTATATAACATTCTTGATTGGCCTACCAAGCCACATTCCAAACTGATTGTTATAGGTGTGTGCTCAATTTGCTATCAGCATTTCTTTCCTTCTGTATTAGTTAGTACATGTGAAGATAAAATGGGAACTTCTCTCACCAACAGGTATTGCAAATACTATGGATCTTCCGGAGAAGTTGCTTCCGAGGATTTCAAGTCGTATGGGCATTCAAAGACTTTGCTTTGGTCCCTATAACTATCAGCAGCTTCAAGAAATTATTTTAACTCGCCTCAATGGAATTGAGGCCTTCGAAAAACCTGCAATTGAATTTGCGTCAAGGAAGGTTGGTCCTTCTGTGGTTCACCTCTACAAGGACTTTTTCTTTATTAGTTGATTCTAATCATCCCATTCACATGTTTGCTTGTGTGCTGTGGCAAATGTGATACTTAAGTTGATTATTAAAGCAATGTCCACTTTACACATAAATCCAGGTGGCAGCCGTTTCAGGTGATGCACGCCGTGCACTAGAAATATGTAGGCGAGCTGCGGAACTTGCAGATTATCGTGTTAAGAAATTGCTAGCAATTCCCGATTCTGCTGCAGCAGGTGACCTAAACCTCGAACTATGTAGACATTAGTGGCAAGAAAGAAATACTTGCAATTCCATTAGAAAGAAATACACATTCATTCTGGTTTTGAACATCTAACATCCTTGGTAGGTTTATACAGATTACTTACCTATGTGTATGTTTCAGGTAAAATGCTTGTCAGAATGGCAGATGTTGAAGCAGCCATTCAGGAAATGTTCCAGGCTCCTCATATCCAGGTAAGTCCAAAAGGAACACCCTGTGATGTAATTTCAACAGTCATTTTAGCTAGTGGGGACATAGCTTGTTGATAACAAGATATCAACAAGCTAACAACCAAGAGTCCACTCTCTTTTGATCTTCCCTTTTTTTGTCTTGCACTACTCTCAAGCCCAAACTAGTTGGTGTCCGCTTGCGGGGGTGGGTAGAGAGCGAATGTAAAAAACAGTTAAATTTTCTCCTCTGCTTTTTTTTTTTAAAAGAAAAATATCAAACCACCAAGTGGGTTAGGCATAACCCCTATCCGTAAATATATAGCAAAAATTACAAGAAGGTGGATAAGACAACCTTCCAATACAATATGAGAAATGATCGAAGTCATTTCTATAGGACAGGTACACAACTTTCAGGGATGAGAGAAGAAGCATTTTTGGCTTCCATAGTAGTGGGTGTCAGTGAATGAACAGTACCACTAGTAGTAAATCTCCAATTCGTTGTGATTGGACAGTCAAAGTTTGTTGGAACTTTGGGGAAAGATGTCTAAATTGAGCCGGTGAAGAAGTTGATTGTGAAGAGGAAAGATGTACCTTGAGCTGGTGAAAAGGAAAGATGGCATCCTGAAGTGGAAGGAGAACCATGAGGCCTCAAGTTCAAATCTCAACGGAGACAAATAAATACTAGGTGATTTGTTCTTATTTGTTGTCTAAACCTTGGTGGATCATGTTACCTGTTACCTGTTGCTAGTGGGAGGTAGAGCAGGTATCCTGTGGAATTAGTCGACGTGCGTGCAAGTTGGTCCAGACACCACGGTTATTTGTAAAAAAGAGGCTTGATGGTGGTTTAGATTTGACCCATGTTGGTCGAGAATATCAGTTCCACTGGAGGTTGACGCAGGATAATTTATTTAGCTGATTCGTGGAGTTGTGGCTTTGAGCTGGGTTTTGAGAGATGGCAGTATTAATATGGGTATTGAACAGAAGGGCAGATTTTTCTATCTGGGTGGTTTAAGGCAATTCTGTTGGTTTTTTCATGGTCAAGATGATCTAAATTTTGGTAGAGTGCTAGGAAGGCAGATGGATCAGGGGGGCTGGTGTTGGTCATCTAGGTGTTGGCCAAAGAGATCTATAGATAACAATACGGCATAGAGAGTTCCGCCAAGAGAGGTCTGAGGTTGAAGCAAGTTACTGTTGCTATTGTCCCATCTGCTTCACCAAAAGTTTTCGGGTGTCCAAATTGGAGGTCTCCATAGGTTAAAATCCTATTAATTGCTAGAAAAATGGGAGTATTCTTGCATACATGTAAATTTCGAAATGAATTTTACCAAGGACTTATGCTGACCATCCCTTAGTACAAAATGGGAACTCCAATGATTTCTTAGTGAAATCATGTTAGGACTAGCTCTTGTTTTTCTCTATGGTTGATTCATAATGATGCGGCAACAAAGTGCTAGCTGATGTTTCACTGGCTATAAGGGGGGAGAAGAGGAAGGATTTTGTTTTCCTAGTGCTTGCAATATGTGTAATTATTTGTTTTGTGTAGGTGATGAGAAGCAGCTCCAAGCTGAGTAAAATCTTCTTGGCAGCTATGGTTTATGAGGGTCACAAGACGGGGATGAGCGAGACCACCTTTGACAAGGTAGTTTCCTGTCTTCTGCCTTTTGAAGTTTCACCTGCCTCTTGTGTGGCATCTATGATTTACTGATGTATCATGTATCTCTTGTAGTGAAATCATGCATCTTTTGTAGTGAAAAGAAAACACAAGTTATAATAGATTACTATTTTTCAATTAAAAGTCTGCCCGCTTTGATTCTACTCTTTCTTCTGGTTTGGTTTTTATGCACTTGTATATAATCTTCTGGCCTATACATTAGCTTGGTTGTTTAAGTTTGCTCCCTGAAATAATTTTCTCAATGCAGTTGGCAATAACTGTTTCCTGTCTCTGTACAAGCAATGGTGAAAAATTTCCAGGATGGGATGTGCTTTTAAAAGTTGGGTAAGCCACAATATTCTTTAGCTTCCTGAAATTATCAAGCTATAAATTCTTAACCTTGGATTAATGAAGTCCCCAATCCTTGTTACTTTGTAGTATTTTTTTTTTTTTATTTATTTTATTTTGTATATTGTGTGCGGCAAGTCTTGATTTCTTAGCGCAAGTCTGGTAGGATAACCCCCATTTCCTAACCTTGACAGAGGCTTGCAGTGTTATCAAAAGCAAAAAAGCTCTAAGGTCCGTTGGGGCTTTATGTGCAAATAAATCGTGGGCTTTAATGAAAAAAGGCGCTAAGGGAGAAAAAAAATACAAATATATATATATATATATATTTAGTCTAAGACCAATAATTATAGGGCAAAGGGTCAAAAATACCCCTCAACTTTGGTTTATTGTTTGACTACGCCCTCGCCGTTAAAATGAAGTTATTTTTACCCCTCCCGTTACTAATTTCACCAAATTTACCCCTCAATTGGATGGAAAACCCCAAATTGACTCAGTTTAACCCAAATTTTAAAAAAAGACCCATTCCCCATTTTAAACCCAA